TCAAACTCTGGAAAACAGCCTTAAAATAGGAAATAGTCATAAAACTTATATAAGAATTTTAGAGAGGTTTATATCCACAATGATTAGGGTAATGTTTATAGATTTAGTGTACATATAAGGTATTTTCTTTATCATTGTTATTTCTTTATCATTGGCTGGAAATTGTTCCTTGCTACACTGATGCCCACACCTGGAACCACAGAGTGGGGAGGGTTGTTGTAATTGTCCTAAATACAAGTATGTGAAGCTTTTTTTAGATTCAAAATGTTGTCTATGCTTCCCTCCGTCCCTCCCTCTTTTCCTTTTTTCCCTTCCTCCTCCTTTTTCTCTTCCCTCTCCCACCTTGTTTCCTTTATTATTTTTGACCTTCTTTTTCTTCCTCCTTACCTCGCTTCCATTTCTTTCTTCCCTGCTTGGCTTGAGTTAATCTTAAGCATCTATTTCTCAAGGTAACCAGCCTTTTAAGATCTTAACAAAGCTGAAGATAAATAATAATCTAATCTGGTGCTGAGTTGAGTTTCTTTTCTTTTTTCCTGTTGAAGCAAATAATAATGTGATATTGAAGTAGCAGTAGAAATATAGCCAATCAAATCAACAAATTAGCCATCATCAGCCAGGATTTTCTAAGAGGCTAAGTTTCTCAAGCTGTGCAGGATTTGGCCTTTGTTAACAGCATGTAACTGGTAAGGGAGATGTTATGCTAATGGAGAAATGACAATGACAACAATAATTGCATTGTGGTAAACACATCTTCTCTTATGAATTCCACATGAGTAGTTGTTTTCGTCTTCAGAATGATGAATTTGGTGACTAGCTTATAAATTCCTCATTTGCTAACTTATTAATTCCTTTCCTAAAAGTTTTGGTTTGGACATGGATATGAGGTTGTCATGTCTTTCTTTTGTAAATTAGCACATAGAAATATCAGTTACTTCTTTGCTAATACAAGCAGATTGTAGGGGTTTTTGCATACCCCATCTTTTATCTGTTAGGAAAATTCCAGGAAGAGTTTGCTTTATTATCTTGTTTTTGATTGAGAGGATTCAGCACAGCTGATAGTTTGTGTTTATTAGCTGATGAAATTTATGCAGTGTGTTAAGGCAGCCATTAGTGGGATAGGGCCAGAGATTGATGTTAATCCTTCATGATTTGGAGTATGGTAAGCTAAAGGGACAATCTTAATAAGCATGTGTTTCACTACTAGGGATGGTTTACTAGGCAAACATGTTTTATTTCAACTTGTAGTATTACATGATACCTTTAGACGGATTCTGATATCCCTATGTCATTTTTATCTCCATTTAGTATTTGGCTAAAAATAATTAATCTGTGAGACCAATTGGGGAAGAATTTGAAGTGTTATGTGCTGTTTTTGTTGGAGTGTATAAAGATACTGAGAAATCAGATAGGATGGAAAGATAAAGAGTAAATACTTATTCAATGGGAAAACTTCTGTTGCATAAGATTGTGAGAATTTTGCTTTCTTTAGGAATCAACTAGGCTTCTTGCAACTCTTAGATGTTAGGATTAATGAAAAATGAAGAGGTGTTGTTTTTCTTCTGTTTTGATAGTATGGTCTAAACAAATCTTTATTGTACTATTTTGGCATTTATAAGTAGACTACAAAGTGTGCTAGATTCTTCAGATTGTGGTAGAGAAGAATTTTATACTATGTCTCAGTCAGAACTTTTCAGTGCATTAGTTGGATGTTAGCCTACTATCTTTATTTTCATTTTTGACCCACAGATTTCCTTTTGGATAATCTGGAGGTGTTTATGCCTGCCTTTTCCAATGTAGTTGATTAGTTGTTATGAAAGGGATGCAGTCTTGTGGCTTCAGAGAAAGTAGTGGTGAAGTCTGTATTGAAAAACTATTCTCAATCAGATGATATTAGCTAATTATGTTCTGGTAGGCTATTTATAGACTGGCTCCTGGCCAAAGAATTTGGAAACTAACATCAGTTGTCTTTTAGTAGGTGGAATGTAATGCTTGATTGATCCATGGAGTTTCTTTCTTTTCCTCTTTTTCCTTTTTTAAAGATTTATAATAATTTATTCCAAACGTATTAATCAAATGTTGGATTTTAAAACCATCTATCTGGCAAAGAATTCTATTTGCTAAACATGGATTAATTTATTAGAGGTGATTAGTATGGGTTCAGTGTGGCTTGGCAATGGCCAACAATGATAGAATTTGAATTAAAAATATTTATTAATTTTTACCATAGCTTCAGGTCTTTTATAAATAAATCTTGAGTCAGGTATCTGAATCATACCAATAAAAACTTTGCTAATTTATCCTTTTTCTGGAAAGCACATGGTTCCTTGTTTACATAGCTATTCAACAGATACTTTCTGATTACTAATCATGTCCAGTCACATTAAGAATATGAGATATTTAATCATTTTGAAAATAAAGAAGTTGGGATCAAGTGGTTATGTGTAGTGGAGGATTGGTTGGAATGTGCTTTGAAAAGCACCTATTTAGCAGCATTTTTGTCAGACCAAAATTTCTGCTTGGCTGTAAAGAATTGATGAAGGACTATTTCAGGTTTTACCAAGAATGACCAATTATGACTTAGTTTCTTCAGAAGGTATGATATATGACATAAGTCTCTGTATTATTGAATTTCATTCAGAAAGCAAACCTGTTAATAAGATTGGGAATACATTCAAACAGTTCATTTTTTAACATGATTTTTTTTGGGGGTGGGGGCGGTACTAGGTATATAATTCAGTTCCTTGTACATGCTAGGCAAACATTCTACCACTGAGCTACATTGTTAGCCTAGAATATTTTTAAATAAACACTGAGATGACTGTCAGGAGATGTGATTTAGACTTTGCCCTGCCCTCACTTAACTCATTGACCTTGAACAAATTTCTTGACCTTTTCAAGCCTCACTTTTCTCAATAATAAAATGAGTGCATTGGGATAGTTATCTTTGACATCTATTTTTGTTTAAAAATTCTGCAGTTTTATTTAAGGCAAGAGCATTTTCCTAAGTCTTCCCTTTCTATTGATGCTTTGGGATTTGACATTTTGAAAGAAAGCTATCATTGTGGTTAAATTTGGTTTTGACTACATTGAAGATAGGTTGTAAATTTTTGACTTTATTTTCTTGAATAAAAATTTCAGACTATGTATATGTAGTATTTGGTTATTCCTGTATTTTTCTTTTGGTAACTGGGCAGCCTGATATGCTACAGTGTGGTCGTATTATTAACTTTGAAGTAAGCAGAGCAGAGTTGATTGATCTAATTGTAGCATACTCTATCCTAGACTAGCCTAAAGAAAGTTGGAAGGTTGTCTTAGAAATAATTTAATCCAACTCTCTTACTTAACAGGTAAAGAAATATGACCAAAAAATGTTTGTTAACTTATATGTATAACAAATCAGAAAAAAGAACATTAACTATAATCTTATTTGTTCACCCACCCAGCATGTATATGAACCTAAATTCAAAATCAACTTCCACATGTTTTAATATTCTTATTTTGATTTAAAGTAGCTCTGTCTCTCTTTGATGAAGAAAAAAATTATTTTCTCATTTCTCACATATGTTTGGCCTTCAAATTCTACCCATTCTATTTTCTTTGTTCAGTCCTTATTTATTGAGCTGACACTATAAATAAGGCACCATGATATATATATATATATATATATATATTCAATATCAAGTAAAACTTTACCTTCTCTAACTAAACATGTGTCAGACTTTGAAATATTTCTGATGCTTGTCTTTTTCTCATCTTATCAAGAGCCATAGTGTTAGAGTACTATCATTTTCTTTCCTAATATAGTATGTGTGTGTGAGGGGGTGGTGGTGTAGGCAGTGATAAGTTAATGCAAAACATTCAGTAATGATAGTTTCTATGAAAAAAAATAAAGTACAATTTGTGGATAATGATGAATGTTTATTATTTTACATAAAATTTCTAATTTGTCTGAAAGTTTAAAAGGATTGTCTTGGCTACTTTACTGGAGAGATAATGGAATTTCAGCAACAAGAGAGCATTGTAGTAATCCTGGTAAAGAATGCTCACGGTGCAACTAGAGAAGTAGCAGTGAAGATATTACAAAGTGCTCAGACACTGGGTCATCTGATGGTTATAATATGTTTAAATAAATTAATTAAGGGAACAAATATTTGTAAAGGGTTTAGAACAATGCCATATTATTAAAGAGTTTCTTAAGGAATTTAAAATGAAAATCAAGACAACAAGATTTTGGGGCTGGGGATGTGGCTCAAGCGGTAGCGCGCTCGCCTGGCATGCTTGCGGCCCGGGTTTGATCCTCAGCACCACATACAAACAAAGATGTTGTGTCCGCCGATAACTAAAAAATAAATATTAAAATTCTCTCTCTCTCTCTCTCTCTCTCAAAAAAAAAAAAAAGACAACAAGATTTTATAAAGAATTGTAGTACATGGTTTGTGAGAGAGAAAGAAGAGAAAATTAGAAATGATTTCAAGATTTTTTTTCTGAGCATGGGAATATTTATAGAGGAAAACCAGGATTTTGACTTTGAACTTCTTAACTTTCAGATTCTTTTTAGATACCCATGTAATTAGGTTAGTAGAGAAATAAATTTGGCAGTCAGCCATGACAGAGTTTGGGAATATATTGTAAGGAGTTACAGATAAATATTATTTAAGGTAATAGAATTAAGATTAATTAGTGTTTTAAAAAGAGGTCTGATCACCAGGGAACACCTACATTTAGAAGTTGGCACAATTTGTGCAACTTGCCAGGGAAAACAGTATTACCTGTTTTATTTAACCTCCCAGCACAGTTTTCTGGTTTTCTCTTTTGAGTTATTTGCTTTCAATTCCTCATGGCCTTGTGCTTCCCAGTACTCTTAAGTAGAACTTTTATTTCCTTTGCAGCATTAGAACTCTACAAACTGCTTGATCATTCACAGAAGCAAAAGTCAAGGGTTTTATAATTATTTTGAAAACAAAAGAGAAGAATAAATCATGATTTTTTTTTTCTTTCAGGAAAAACATAAACAAGAACTGGAAGACATGAGAAAAGCTGGTCATGAAGCCCTTAGCATTATTGTGGATGAATATAAGGTAGAGGTTTTAGAATTTCTTTGTTTATTCTTTTAAACTTGAAAAACTTCAGTAAAAATTTTACACACATAAATCATGTGCAAGCATACAAAAATTGTATACTTATAGTGAAGCATATTTTGGTATATCATTCCTTTCAGTTGATCAATCAATGTCCATTGCAACATACTTGGTGGATTACAAGATAATGCTAGATATTGCACTGTATTGGTGAAACTTAGTCTATTTGAAAATATGATATCAGCAGGTGAAGAAATCTGAGTACAAAATACTGTAGAATTCATTTCTATGTTATCTATTTTGTCTCTGTGGAACAAAATGAGGAAAAGAAAGTGGCAAAGGAGGAGACTGGATATAATGAAGGTATAAAGTAGATCAGTAGAAAAATGAGAATAAGAGGGAAGGAGGAAGGAAGGGATCGGGATAGAAATATGGAATGAATTTAACAATAGCGTGATATAATCGTATATAAAATACTAAAAAGAATTTCACCTGTATATACATGTAGAAAATACTGATCTAAAATAAATAAATAAGGGAATGAAAGGAAGATCAATAGAGGAGAGGAGAAAGAACAACAAGAGAGAGCAGGGAAGGGAAGTTGGGGAATGGGGATTGAAATCAAATTCCTTATATGTATTATTTTGACAGATGAACCTAAATACTACATATAATTGTAATGCTTTAATTAAAAAATTTAAAAACCCAGTACCAGTACAACCAATACTAGAAACAAGAAAATCTTAATTTTAATTAAAAACAAAACAAAACATAACAACAGATGCCAATCTTCAGCTAATACTGATGTTAGAATTATCTGACAAGAATTTTAAGGTTCTGACAAGGATGGCATTCTTCATAAAAAAATGTTTTAACAAGAAATTATGTACATCACAACAGAAATGGAAAAACAAAAATCTCAGAAAGCTTTAGCAAAATAATAGATTATCTAAAGAAGCATCAAATGGAAATTTTAGAAGTAGAAAATGCAATTAACAGAATTTTTAAAAATCTGGGATGGTTTAACAGCAGATTGTAGAATAACAAAAAGAAAAGAATGTATGAATTTGAAAATAAAGAATAGAAATCCCTAACTTGAAAATAGAGAACAGGAAAAAGTCTGAAAACAAATGAGTAGGGATTTATGAATCTGTGGGATTACAAGAAATGTTCTAAAATTTGTTTTCATTAAATGAGTCCTGAAAGAAGAGAGTGGAGTTTGAAAAAAAATTTAGTTACAGTAGCTGAAAATTCCCCAAATTTGGCAGAATATATAATACTATATATTCAAGATACCAAGTGAATTCCAAATATGCTAACAAAAACAAAAGAGCAAAGAAAAGATCTTTGCTAAGGTACATTGTGATAGTTAATTACTATGTCAACTTGACTGGGCCAGGTTGCTCAGCTATTTTGTCACTTCTGGGATGGGGATGTTTCCACAAGGGTGTTTTCTGGGGGGATAAGATTACCATTTAACTCTGTGGACTCAGAGTAAAGCAGATTGTCTTCCATGATGTGGATTGGCAGCATTCAATTATTTGAAGATCAAAGATCAGTTTTCCCCCAAGCAAACAAGTGTCTGCCAACAGACTAACTTGAACTGCATCATTAGTTCTTCCTTAGGTCTGCATCCTGACATCCTTTTGACTTCAACTAGAACATCTGTCCATCTTTGCAAATTTTGAACTTGTTAGACTCCATAATTGCATAAGCCAATTCCTTAAAAACAGACCTCTATCTTTGTACACATCCTATTGATTCTGTTTCTCTGGAGACTCTGGTTAATACATCAGAGCCAGACTTCCCCGAACTAAATAGAAATCAGTCTTGGAAAAGAGAGAATAAATTTACATTTTTACCAATGGGAGAAAAGCAATTAGAAAGATGGTGGAGTTTTCACCAGAAGAAATGGAAGAACTATCAATTATTGGGGGGGGGGGGGGGGGGGAGAAAACTGTTAACCCAGAATTCTATATATGGTGAAAATATACTTCAGGAATAAGTAGTCGTTGTGGGGAGTCAACATATTCTCAGATGAAGGAAAACAGAATTTATCACAGCAGACCTACCTTTAAAAAATGGCTAAAGGAAATTGTTGCAACAAAAAGGAAATGATGAAGGAATCCTGGAACATAAAAGAACAAAGGGAAAAGGAAAAACATGGGTAAACATAATAGACTTTCCTTTTGAGTTTTCTAAATAATGTTTGTTGCAGCTGACCTTCTAACAGTGTCTGATGTAGTTCTATAATCTTGGAGCCATTTGAATGTAGTTCAGACATGTATTTCAGAGATTTTGATTTATTATGTAGTAGAAATGCTTTTTTCCATATATTATAAATATCCAAGCATCTGAAGTAATGCCTAGCAGTGATCAGTACAAAATAAAATTTAATTAAAAGCCAACCTGAATGACATACAATAGTAACTGGTAGAATTTGGGAAGGAAAGGAATAGAATAGATAAAGGAACTCTGGATTCCATCAGGGAATGCCTTATACACACATTGAAATGACACATTAAACCCCATTAATATGTACAGTTCATATATATTAATAAAAATAATATACATTTTAAAAATGAAAATAATTTAGTTATTGATATGATATTTTTTTAAAATATGGGCATTTATAGTTACAAATTTACTCCTAAACTATACTATATTTCATCCTGTAATTTTTGCTGTTATATTGTTTCCATTTTTATTCATGTTAAATATTTTCTAATGTTCCTTGCAATTTCTTTGCTGACCCATTAGTTCTTTAGAAATATGTTGTTTAATTTCCACAGAAATTTCCCCAATTTCTGGCTATGGTTGATTTCTACTTTAATTTCATTGTGGTTGGAGAACTTATTTTTGGTAACTTCAGTTTTTTAAAATTTAGTGGGGATCATTTTATGGGCTAGTTTATGATCTATCCTGTGGAATTTCCATGTGCACTTGAGAAGAATGAATATTCTACTACTGCTGGGTTTAGTGAGGTATTCTCTCTATGTCTCTAGGTGGAGTTGGTTTATAGTGCTGTTTCAGTCTCCTATATGCCATTGATAATTTACCTAGTTTTTCTATCCTTTATTCAACGTGGGGTATTTAAATGTCTGAGTATTATTATTATTGAATTATTTGTTTCCTTTCATTTTTATTAGTTTTTGCTTCGTGTGCTTATTTTGGAAATGTTCTAATTATATATTTGCATTTTTATGTCTTCATTATAGTTTGACGTTTTTGTTATGATGTTTTTTAATCTAATAAATTGTTTTGTTATACTTTTTTTTCTTATAATAGTAAAGCCACTTTATCTCTCTTTTGGTTGCTATTTGTATGGTATATGTTCCCCATATTGTTACTTTGAACCCATTTATGTCTTTGAATATAAAGTTTATCTTTTGCACAAATTTTATGTGTGTGTGTGTGTGTGTGTGTGTGTGTATAGTTTTATGCACTTTCTTTTTAAATAAGTAAGAGACAAAAGAAGAAGAAAGGTCTAATTATGTTGTCATTTAAAATTACTTTCATAATTAACTTTTTTGGTTCCCCTCCCCTTTTTTTTCTTTTTTGTGGTACTGGGGATTGAACCCATGTGTGCTCTACCACTGAGCAATATCCCCAGTCCTTTTTAATTTTATTTTGAGACAGGGTCTCTTGCTGAGTTGCTGAGGCGGGCCTAAAACTGTGATCCTCCTGGCTCAGCCTCTCAAGTAGCAGGGATAACAGGATTCACCACTGCACCCAGTGGCCTGCTTTATTTTTGCATGTGGAATGGTCTGGTGTTTCTTGCATTAGTCTGAAGAGTATTTAAAGACTCTCTTAAACACATTTTTACCCCCTCTTTACCTGATTTCCCTGCTTAGCTTCTAACTTATTTTTTTTTTGTATTTTTTTTACACCATGCTATTAGCTCCTATCATCTTTAAAATGATTGATCTATTGTTTTTGATTGTGCCCTGAAGCATACATTGCTCCATATTCTGATCCAATTGCAATCATCCCCCATGGCAAGGGCAGTTTGTACCCAGTATTTGAGGCTTTCTGTAAGTCTTCCTTATTAGAGAACTGCAATACTGTGTGTAGGTGCCAGAAGACTAAGATGGTTATTCGCTTATTCTTGATTTCCTCACCCTTATCTAACTTTTAGAACTGGAGCTATAATTAAGGGGAAAGAGGACAAGTACTGCATCTGTCATATGGCTGCTGTTGCCATTAAGTCCTACCTCCCTCTTCTTATGTCTTTTAATCCAAATTAAAGTAGTAGTTACTTTGTGTATATATATATGTATATGTGTGTGTGTGTGTGTATAAAACCTTCATTTAAAAATGACTATCCTGGGGATAATGAAGATCTTGAGTTAGGACATTATTTGTACTTTTACTATATCCATACTAGTTAAAGATTTGTGTACATCCTTTTCTCATAAAAGAGATCCTCAGCCATTGGATTTTTTTTTTTTTTTTTTTGGTGGAGAGGATACTGGGGATTGAACTCAAGGGAATTCGACCCCTGAGCCATATCCCCAGCCCTATTTTGTATTTTATTTAGAGACAGGGTTTTACTGAGTTGCTTAGCACCTCACTTTTTCAGACTCAGGCTTTGAACTTGAAATCCTCCCGCCTCAGCCTCCCAAACTCCTGGGATTATAGGCATGCATGTGCCACTGTGTCTGGCTAACCATCAAATCTTTACTGATGACTTTTCTATTTTTTTTAAAGTATGGGACTTTTTAAAAATAATTTTTATTTTTTAAAAGTAAATTGTACATTACAGACAAAACAAAACAAAACAAAAACAAACAAACAAAAAAACAAAGACACAAGCAAAGAACAAAGTCATCCAGTCACAAGAAGCTTAGTTGGACGTGTCCCTCTAGGTGTGTGCATATATACACAATATCCCATTTTGTGTGATTGAGATTGTGGTGTATATCATGCTTTTTCACACATCATGAATATTCACCAATTCAAAATCCTGAAGCTACGTGAGTATTTTTTGATAACCAAGA